AAGCACATGGGGACGTCCAGTTACAAGCCTTAACAGGGCCTTTTGTGAAACAAACTAAAGCAAAGCAACAACAACAAAATTTGAAGAGACGTTAGTACCCATTTGAGGAGGCAGCGGCTTCTTTCTCTGCAAGCACAGCAGCGGTCCCTACCAGCTCTGCCTAGCAGCAGACACCCGCATGTCATCTTATTTTCTCAGATCCCTCTTAGCTCTTTCCTCTGCAGGAGCTGCCTTACTGATCTCGAGTAAAACCTGTCCACCTTGGCCCACGCCACACCCAGCCTTCTTCCTCTCTCTTACATTTCTCCACTTCAGTGGTCCTGGGGGAGAAGCTTATTTGGCGTGAAAAGCTGAGTTGATAAGGAGGTAAGCCCTCCAAGCTGCTTGTAGTTATATTCTTTTTTTTTTAGTTTGTTTTTCCAGTACCGGGAATCAAACTAATGACCTCACGCTTGCCAGGCAGGCGCTGTGCCACTGAGCTAAATCCCCAGCCCCGCTTGTAGTTATAAATTTGGTGAAGTACTATGAAAAAAAGTGAAGGGTGTAGTGAGAGGTGATCGCAAGGAGACTCAGTTTAGATGGGGAGGTGAGCAGGTTCCCAGGGGTGAGCTCCAGCTGCGATCTGAGGCTGCGCGAGGTCGGCAGGCGGGGCTGAGGGCACAGGCGCACGGCAGGGACGGAAGGGTGGCTGTGTGGCCGAACCACATAATCTCACACTTGTGAAATGAAAATGTGTATCCCCAACCCAAGGCTTCGAAAGCTATTAAAAGAGGATGTGGGGCCGGGGGTATAGCTCAGCGGCTTAAGGGCTTGCCTGGCAACCCTGAGGTCATGAGTTCGATTCCCGGCACAAAAATAAATAAATAATTAAATAAATAAAAGAGGATGTGAGATTTTGATCAAAACGTGGGGCGTGGATTTTATTTTAAAGTTGTTATAACTAACATTATAAAAGTACGTGATAATAGTATTTCACATTTACTGAGTGTTCTGTGTAACCTGTTAACTTCTGTATCAACTCAGTCCCACGATAACTCGAGGTAGGCATTATTCGTATACCTCCTCTACTCCCCCTACACGCTCTCTTTCCTATATTGTATCTGCATATCTTTGCCATCTGATGCATATCTTATTTATACCTATGTGTGCATGCACACACTTTTATTTTTGTTTTTTGTTTTTTTTGAGACAGGGTCTCATTTTGTAGGTCAGGCTGGCCTTGGACTCACAGCAGTCTTTCCTGCCTCAGCCTCCTGAGTGCTGGGATTACAGGCGTGGGGCAACATACCCGGCAGAGGGCCAATATTCTTGTATACTTTATTCATTCATTTCTTTGTTCATTTCTCTCGCCTGCTACACAGTAGGTACTTAAAAATTTTCCTGGATGAATCCTGACTTTGTAAGTGATGTAACTAGGAAGGCACAGACCAATAAGCCTGTCCAACGTTACTCAGCTGTTAAAAAGGGCAGGAACTCAAGCAGCTGTGCTTGTAGCCGCAGTCTACTTGCTGCCCATCTCTGCCACAAATCCAAATAGTGTAAAACGGTATAAACTGAAAAGGCAGAGATTCCCCTCCATCCGTCCAAATCCCCCAAAGCTAACCTCTGTCAACACCTCAGTGCATCTATTCTTTATATTTTATTTTGCGGAGTCTGTGTTGCCCCAAGTGGGCTTGAACTTAGAATCCTCCACCTCAGCCTCCTGAGTAGCTGGGATTACAGGTGCACACCACTGTGTGTAGCCACCGTGGAGTCTTTTTGAAATGCATTATGCCTAATGACATACATATATCTATTTTTTCATTTTAACATTTATTACAAATCATATTTTATCAACACTAGGTAAATTGTATATAAAAGATACACATAAATATACAGAAACAAAACCAAGCCAGCAATACTTATTCATGCAAAAGAAACTGAATTGATGTTTAAACATGTATAATTTAATAAAATTACTAAGTTTTTATTGCCAATAATTTTTTAAGAATTTTAAATCTATTTCAGAAATGAAAGATAGTACATTTTGATTACTATAAAGGTTTAGAATTATAAAAACAATTATCATTATTTTAAAAACTCTTTTCAAACATTCAGAAGCCAAATGACTATCCTTAAGGACAAATTAGGCTGGGGATGTAGCTCAATGATAGAGTGCTTGCCTAGCATGCATGAGGCCCTGTGTTCAACCCCCAGCACCACAAGAAAGAAAGAAAGAAAGAAAGAAAGAAAGAAAGAAAGAAAGAAAGAAAGAAAGAAAGATTAAACATGGGCAAAATCTCTTATCTAATTGAAGAGTAAAAACTTTTAGGTTTTGGTTAACAGATACTAAATTTAGTGGAAAATCTTAAATCAACATCTCCCTTATTATTATATTCCTGAGTTTGCTAAAATACCATAGATAACTCAGTCTATACTTTTGCATAGCATTGTATTTTAGTTTTCAAAAACAAAAAGTATTGTGATTATTTT